TAAGTGATGGTGGATCACATTTCTGTAATAGGCCATTTGCATCTCTAATGTTCAAATATGGCGTCACTCACAAAGTATCCACTGCGTATCACCCACAAACAAATGGTCAAGCCGAACTTGCCAATAGGGAGATAAAGAACATTCTAGAAAAAACGGTTAACCCAAACAGGAAGGATTGGTCCGATAGATTGATCGATGCCCTCTAGGCATACCGCACTGCCTTTAAAACTATTTTGGGCATGTCTCCCTACCGGCTTGTCTATGGAAAGGCTTGCCACCTGCCAGTCGAAATGGAACACAAGGCCTATTGGGCCATTAAGACTTTAAATTTTAATTTGAGAATGGCCGGTGATCATAGGAAGCTAGAGCTGAATGAGTTGGAAGAGATTCGATGAGATGCGTATGAGAGCTCCAAAATTTCAAAAGAAAGGGCCAAAATCTTTCATGATAACTCCATTGTGAGGAAATCATTTGAGCCCGGGCAAAAAGTACTCTTATACAATTCTCGTCTCTCTATTTTCCAAGGCAAACTCCGATTCCGTTGGGATGACCCCTATCTTGTCAAGGTGGCCTACCCCAACGGAGCTGTGGATGTTCAAAACCCCGAAAATGGCCAGACATTCAAAGTCAATGGCCAAAGACTTAAGCCATTTTTTGGGGGTTTTGAAGAACAAGTGGTGGAGGAGAATTTGATGGATCCGGTATACCCGGAAGTTGTGAAGGAATAATTAGTTTTTCTTTTTTCTGCTTTTTAATGTACAGGTTTTTATTTACTTACTTTATTTTTTTTATTCCATGTTAATTATGTTCTTTTGTCGTATAGTTTTGTTTTTCTTAGTCGCAGATATTGGTGTTTTTGTCAAAGCTAAAGTGCGAGGTGTTCTCTAACCCTTCTTATTTTTTTACTGTCCATCATTGAATATCATATTTGTTTTAGAACACTCTATGAATCAAGTTGGAGGGGTTACACTATTTGCATATTACACCAATGTTTGTGGGAATATTCCGCGCGAATATTCGCATCTGCCGACACTAAAAAAAAAAAAATGGTGGGAATATTCTTCACGGATATGCGGCTGCTGACACTCAAAAAAAAAAAAAATAGGATGTCTTTATAAGGCTTTCAAATTTTTTTCTTTTCTCCCATCCACCGGTGATTGATCTCCCCTTCTTCTTCCTTTCTCTTTTCTTCTTCTTCTTCTTCTTCTTCGTCGTCGTTCTCTCTGTTCTCTGTAAAACCAAACCACCCATGCAAATCCATGACCATATACGCCGACAACCCAGTTCTTTGTTTAATAATTTGCCTTATATGTTTGTATTTGTTCATGGGTGCTCTTTTTCTGCTCACACTTAGGGTGAGGGGTTTCCAGCCTAACCCAAATCTCTCTCGAGTGGGTTAATTGTTGTGTTTTGTTTGTTGGTTTCGGCAGCTAAACAGATCTTTACACCCACCGCTTTTTCCTCTTTCTTCATCTTCTTTTTCTTCTTATTTCTATTGTACTATTCTCTATAACACGACCTAACTCCCAACAATCCCATGACCATATTCCCCAAAGACCCAGTCGTTTGTCTCATGCTCGGCATTTGTTTACTCTATTTGTATATGGCTCTTCTTCTTCTGTCTGCATTTAAAATCAAGGGTTTTCGTCCTAGCAAAAACCCAGATCTGCGTAGAGAAGATTAATTTGTGTATTTTCTTTGTAGGTTTCGACAGTTGAACAGATCTCTACCCTACAACTTGATCTCTAAACTCTACACACTGGTAAATTCGAAACATTGGGGACAATGTTCGGTTTAGGTTGGGGGGTGTGATCTACGAATCCAGTTGTTATAGTTTTGTATTTAAAAAAAAAAAAAGATTGTTCTGGATTGCGTATTTTTACAGCATTTTTGCTTATATTTCATGATCACATCAAATGCAGCGTCAATCGTCTTTGTGACTGGCAGACGTTAAAGAACCAGATAGTGAGTCTTGAAGCATAGAAAGTATGGATGTTAAAATTTTTTGGTTTAGTTTGGGAGTCTTGCGCACATTTCCATCTGATGTGCATGCTGTGATCATGAGAAAAGCAAGAGTAGTCAGAAAAATTGAAATCCGAGAAGCACAAGCAAAACCATTGTGTGGCAGAAGTACTTTTGCTAAACGTCGTCGTGCCAAACGGTTGGGTGCTTGTAAACAATGTGGCAGGTGTTTTCACATGAAAAAAATACAATCAGTGTTCTGAACCAATTTCGGGTCGTACAACCGATCGATTAAACTGGATAGTGTATGGGCAGAGTAAGGATTTTCCTGAGACGCCATCTTATACCAGTCCGGGACTTACATGTTATGTGCGACAAGAAGTGGGAAGGGTCACTAATAATAACATAGACACAAGCGACGACTCGGATTAAATTTTAACTAATAATGACAAAGCTGTGGAAAAATGTGTTTTGGGGATGAAGGTTAATGGTCCGAATTTTTTTTTGTAAATATTTGTTTATGTACAAAGTCTTTTTGTTGAAATAAAAATGTGGGTCGAGTAAGGATTGTCCTAAAATGCCAACTTGTAGCGTGGGTAGGGACCTATCCTGAGACACCATAGTTTTCCAAGTTCAATATGTGCATTTAGTCTTTTTGTAAATTTTTATGGATAAATGTGTATGTAAATAGTTTTGATTTTTATTCGAGTGAAAAAAAAAAACCCATTTCCTTGAAAAATGGTATTTTCTCTATGCTTAAATGTCAAATGTACATTGGTATTTGTTAATCTTAAGATACAGAATGACCAAACTCGAAAATAGAATTATAATATAACTGACATTCTTTGGAAACCTGACATAACCAGTGGAGATAACGAAGAATACCATGGTAAGTTTTGAGCCCTACGATGCTTTCTGAGAGACAATCAACATTTACTCAAGTAAGCTCTTTCACTTTCAATTGTTGAATAATCTCATTAAACTTGCTTTGATTAAATGCAATTAAAGTAATCTATTGACATATCCTACAGGGAACCTTTGCATGCATACACATACTTGAGAAAGGATTTTAGGCCATCTTTGAGTTGATTTTGAACCTTAGCCATTGCTTCTACAAAATTATATCCCTAGTTAGCCATGTTTGAGCCTTCAATGAATGATGATTTTTTTTCTCGAAAAACCCATATGATAACCGAGCCACAAAAAAAAAAAAATACACTTAACATACCTTGCTATTCAAAATTAAGAGATGTGTGCCTCAATGATTCTGTTGCTAACTCATTTTGACAAGAAATCTTACATATACACATCTTTTAATTGGAGTTTGTAGGTAGCTTCACTGGAAACCTTCACGAGACAAAACTCGTCCACTAGGGATCACCTAGGGGTTTAACGGCTTATTGCATATGCTAAATGCAATCGTGTTATCTACGAAAGTGATTTTATTTTGTTATGTTGTTTATTACTAGGGACTAGTAATATTTAGGTTGGGGGGTGTGATTAACCCTAATTAAGGCATAATTTAATAGGTAAATTGTGTTAGTTGAATAAAGTTAAACTAGTCAAAATAAATCAAATTAGAATTAGTGTGTGAATAAAGGATAATGCATTAATTGTTGTTCTTTTCAGGATTTTGTGCGTCAAAGCTACAAACTACTGGGGAGCCAATTGCATTAAAACTACAAACTACTGGGGTGCCAATTATCAAAGATCAAAACAAAGGAGGATCAAAGAATTCAAGTCCACCTAACAAGATTCAAAATCACCTAACAAGATTTTCAAGTCCACCTAACAAGATTTTCAAGTCCACCTAACAAGACTCTTCAAGTCCACCTAACAAGATTCAAGGCCACCTAACAAGACTTTCACCCTCCCTTGTTGCCTATAAATACCACCCCTTAGGACTTGTAAAACATTCATCTTTTGGGAGTGGAAAACCCTCCAAAAGTATTATTGCTTTCCTTATTGCTTATAGCTTTCTTTAAGTATTGCTTTCTTTTATTGTATTCTTGCTTCCTTTTAATTTATTGCTTTCTTTTATTTTAAATATTGCTTTCTTTTATTGTGTTATTGCTCTTTTACTTCCATTGCTTGAGCTTCCTTCTTCCCTTAGAGGAGTGAAACTATTCCACTTTTCTAGAGCTTTACCAAAGTCGTGAAGGGTGGAACGTGATTCACTCATTCTTTGTCGAAGATCGGCTCCTTCTGTAAAATGTGTTACCTTGTAACTCCTCTACTTGGAGGGATGAGCATCACTCACTTTTCTAGTTTTAACAAAGCCATGAAGAGTGAGTAGTTTCTCATCCAATCTTTAGTAAGAGGTGGTTATCCGAAAGTTAAATTTATGCAATTCGTTTATGCTTAGCTTTAGTCTTTATTTTTTCATAATGTCTTCTCATCATATTGTTGTCTTTATTTTAAGCATGAATAGCTAAATCTCTTAGTTGGCAAAACCAAGAGAAACCTCCACTTGGGTATACCATTTCAACTCATTCTCCTCCCCTCTTTTCAGAGTTCAATGGTTCGGTTTGACTGGGTTGAGGGTGGATAACTTGGTGAGTCTTTGATATTCCGTAGGCCTAGTCACGGTTTATGCTTAGATACTCACCAATCTTACCCCTAGCTTCCCACGAATCAATCGTTCATTCATGCTCTATTGGAGGAGGGTTTTGAGTTGAGACGGTATTCCTATTGGAGTGACCTTTTGGATTTGCCAACATTTATTTCTCATTTTACTAGCATCAAAACAACTTCACCAAACAACTTTCAACAATCAAAGATTTTACACTTTCTTTCTCCCAAAATCACCTTCCCCTCGGTTTACTTCCTTCCCCGTGGAAACGACCTTGGAATACCACCAAGTAAAACACGATCCGTGAAAGTCTCCTTGCGCTTGGGGAGCACTTTTGTTCACAGATACTCACATTTGAAATCTCATTCATCCACCATTCCGTTGCCCTTTCTTTTGACATCATCCCTAGGAGAGTGACACTCCCCTTTATTCATATACTATACATGCTAAAAGGTGATGTTTATAGGTTAGGAAACAACAAGGAAATTTGTCAAGCAACGTCCCCATGATACCAGGAGATATTGGTAAACTGAAAGTGGGTGAGAAAGAAACGATTTATGGTGGGAGATGTGGGTCTACAATGGTTGAATCTGATACTACAGTGGAGAACTTATTAACTAAGGTATTTCAGAGAGAGGATGAGCCTAAAAAATCAGTTGGGCCAGAATTAATGGTGACCCAAATATCAGAAATGGGATAGGCGAACATGACCATGTCTTTGGTGGATAAGGAATATCTCAGCCCTCATTTTCAGAAAACCCATATACTCTCTATAGGGGATTTATCTAAGTCTTGGATCAGTGGGTCTCAGCCTCAGATTGAAATAAAGGACAACGAAGAAAGGGAAAGTAGTTTTGGTGGAAGGAAATAAGGGCAGTCAAAATTTGAAAACTTGGAAATGGAAAGCTAGAGATTCGACTACTTCGAGTAAAACAAGGAAGACGTCGACTGAGGGAGGTAAGAGAAAGTTAGCAAATGCAAAGGAACCTGTGGAGGATGTTGTGCAGTCGATTTCAAAGAAGAAGGTTATTTTTGATGAGGTATGTTTTGGGGATGGGGTCTCAAAATTCAATCTTACAACGACAGAGTCTGGTTTCTAGACCTGCCGATCGCTATGAAAATTCTAAGTTGGAACTGCTGAGGAATTGGGCAATCTTGGACAGTTCGGTTTCTTCACGAATTTGTGAAGAAAGAAAGGCCCCATTTTGTTTTCTTGATGGAAACAAAATGTAAAGCTAATGGTATTGAAAGACTGAAAAGACGACTGAGGATGAATGCGATTTCGGTTGATTTGTTAGGGCTATCAGGGGGATTGGCTTTGTTATGGCAGAGTGATGTATATGTCTCGTTACAAAGTTTCACCAGGGCACATATTGATGTAATTGTTGATGGACATAATGAACACCACGGTTGGCGTTTAACTAGATTTTATGGGAACCCAAAGGTATCTAGACGATCGGAGTCCTGGTCTCTTTTGCGTTTGCTTCGGTCATGTTGTGAGTTAACATGGATTTGTGCTGGTGATTTCAACAAAATTCTTACAAATAGTGAGAAGATGGGTAGGAGGGAGCGACCATATGGAAAGATGAGAGATTTCAGAGATGTTTTGGATAGCTGTGCTTTAATAGATCTTGGTTATGAGGGACATCAATATACGTGGTGTAACAATTGGTTGCATCCTCATACAGTATGGGAGAGATTGGATAGGGCTTGTGCTACCACTGATTGGACTGATCTATTTCTGAATGTTAGGGTGCGTCACATTTTTAGCAGGGCGTCAAATCATTATAAGGTTCTCATTGACACGGATGCAAGGAATCCGATGAATATAACTGCTAGACGTAAAAGAAAATTTAGATTTAAGGCAGCTTGGGTCAAGAGAAGCGATTGTGAAGCTGTGATTAAGAATGCATGAGAGCCTGGGATATCACAGGTGGGTGCAAAGGGGATCATTACGAATATACAGAATTGTAGACTGGGATTACTCAAGTGGAAAAAAGAAAATGTTGGATTTGTCCTTGCTAAAATTGACTTGTTGAAAAAGAATCGTGAACGTCTTCAAGAAGGAACAATTTTAGCAGCTGTTAGACAACAACAACGGTCCCTAAAGGCTGAATTGGATGAGGTAATGGATCATGAAGAATCTTACTGGCACCAAAGATCTAGAATAAATTGGCTTAAAGATGGGGATAAGAATTTCGCCCTTTTTCATGCTTGGGCTTCACGGAGGAAAAGAACAAACTGGATAGGGATGTTGAAAAACCAACATGGGGGGGGGGGTGGTGTGCATCGCAGGAACAAATTGGAAATGTAGCTATTGCATATTTTCAATCACTGTTGACATCGGGTAGACCACATGATCAAGATATAGAGGCTGTTCTGAGCAAAGTGACAAGCAAGGTATCCGACGAAATGAATTCAAGATTACTGCAATGTTTTAGAGCATACGAGGTAATGTTAGCTTTGTCTCAGATGTATCCAACTAAGTCTCTAGGTCCGGATGGAATGTCAACACTTTTCTTTCAAAAGTATTGGCATGTGGTAGGGGCAGATGTCCTAAGTTGTGTATTATCATTTCTCAATGGGGGTGATTTTCCTTCTAAGTTAAATTACACCCATATTGTACTTATACCTAAGGTCCAAAGTCCTGAGTCTATGTCACAATTTTAACCTATTAGTCTATGTAATGTTCTCTATAAAATTATATCTAAGGTCTTAGCCAATAGGTTGAAAGTCATCCTTCCCTCAATTATTTTTGAAATTCAAAGTGCTTTTGTTCCAGGTCGGTTAATAACTGATAATGTTCTCGTGGCATTTGAAATTAACCATTACCTTAAGTGCAAAAATTAGGGAAAGGAGGGTCATATTTCTTTGATGTTAGACATGAGTAAAGCATATGATAGACTAGAGTGGATATTCTTGGAGAGAATGATGGGAGCATTGGGCTTTGCAAATGGGTGGATACGTTTGATAATGCAATGTGTGGAGTCAGTCTCATATTCATTGATGTTGAATAATGAGAAAATAGGCTATTTTTTTCCTCAAAGGGGAATCCGTCAAGGAGACCCCTTATCCCCTTACCTTTTTCTTCTTTCTGCAGAGTGAATGTCAGCGTTGCTCAAAGATGCTGAAAGAAGTGGTACTGTCTCAGGGATTACTGTGGGTCATGGATGCCCCAGAATATCTCATCTCTTTTTTGTAGATGATAGTCTTTTATTCTTCAAGGCTACCTCATCAGAAGTAGCTACAATTAAGGAGGTTTTACAACTATATGAATCAGCCTTGGGTCAACAAATTAGCTTGGACAAATCTGCGATGGTGTGCAGCAACAATGTTCCAGAAATAAGAGTAAGAGAAATGAAATCTATACTCAGTGTTCCTCGTGTGCAACAACATGACAAATACCTAGGATTTCCATCTGTGGTGGGCAAGTCTAAGAAGGAGGTCTTTGCTAGTGTAAGGGAGTGGGTTTGGCAGAAGCTACAAGGATGGAAAGAGCGTCTATTCTCAAGGGGAGGTAAAGAAATACTAATCAAAGCAGTGGTCCAGTCAATTTTGACATATGCCATGGGATGTTTCAAGCTTCCTAAATATTTGTGCAATGATTTGGAGTCTTTAGCTTCCAATTTCTGGTGGGGTCAAAAGGAAAGGGAGAGGAAAATTCATTGGGTAAAGTGGGTTGATTAGTACTTAAATTTAGCATATTACTATGCCTTTTAGGACTAATTGTACTTTGATGGAGTTTAAGTGATGACATTTCAGGTCCTAAAGTGAACAAGAGCTCAAAGAACAACAAAAATACACTTGGATGTAACACCAGCATATTGGGGACAAAATTGGAGAAGCTCGGAACAAAGCAGAACGTTCGAATGCTAACTCACGTTCGAACGTCCACTTGAACTATGAAAAGACCAGATTGTTAAGACATGGCGTGTTGCAGCCAAGAAAGAAGACCTTTAAGTACTTGAGTACCACGTTCGAACGCCAACTCACGTTCGAACGTCCATATGAATTGATTGAACACCAGGGTGATGAGTGCAAAGTGCCAAGTTCTGTATACAGTGTGGAAATAGGTTTCCATAGAAGACCACAGGCCACTTGAGTGAGAGGGTCAAACCCCAAAGACAGAAGAAATGTTCAAATGTCATACAATATTCGAACACCCTTAAAGCAAAAACAGAAACCACGTTCGAACGTCAACTCACGTTCGAACGTTCTCCACAGACAGACTGCAGAGTGGTTGGCTTTCACTTGGACTTGGGCTACATACACTATTCTTTCACCACCCCCTTCCTCCTCCTTGCCTATAAATACTCCCATTGTGGGAGCTTCATGGAGACTTGGATAGATAGGGAGCTTGATGGAGGCTTAGAACTCCCACTCATGTAGCTAGCTTTAGAGATATATTTGCTTGTATCAAGGCAGATAGTTCATCTTTTGGTTGAGGAAACAACCCTCCATTTCATGGTTGAGGAAGCCACCCTCCAAATGTAACTAGCTTTCTTCTACTTCTATTGTTTATGTCTTTCACTTCCATTGCTTGAGCTTCCTTCTTTGTTAGAGGAGTGAAACTCTTCCACTTTTCTAGAGCTTTACCAAAGTCATGAATGGTGGGACGTGATTCACTCATTCTTCGTTGAAGATCAGCTCTTTGTTTATTGTGCTTTCACATTGTAACTCTTCTACTTGGAGGGATAAGTATCACTTATTTTCCTAGCTTTACCCAAGCCATAAAGAGTGAGTAGTTCCTCATTCACTCTTTAGTAAGAGGTGATGAACATGTATTGATTATCCCGAAGTTATATTTGTGCATTTTCTTTATGCTTTAATGCTTTATATTTCACTTATTGAATGATTGAATGCATCTAGCAAAGCTAAGGTACTTTGTATAACTATGAGTTTTTTCTATGACACGGATGACTCTTGCATGAAAAGACCCGTTGGTTCAAGGCAAGTACCCCAGCTAGATCTTCATGACAACATTTCAATCTTCACCATTATTGTGCTTTATCTAAAGAATGAAACATTAATGCCATGGTTGGATGCCTTGTAGAAACACTTGTTTGTTTGTAGACGGGTTGAGTCTCGGCACAGACAATTCTTGTAAACTTCTAGAAAGGCATCGGAACCATGTGCTTAATTCACACAGTCCATCTTTATCTTCCAATTAACTTGCTGTTGACACGGGAGTTAATTGAGTTATAAAGCTCAAGTATAACAAACCGGATGATCACTTACATATTCTGATCCTCAAGCTAAAGAGTGACTGTTTCACATTTGAATTTATCTTATATTTTGTCTAGAAAACTCTTGGAAAGAATCTTATATTCTATTCAGGAAATCCCATAACTTCAAACTCTCAAGGCTTCCAGTTACTCGATCTCTGTCACTGCTTACTTCAAAACACTAATCATAGTTCCCTGTGGATTCGACTCCGGACTTAACCGGATTATTACTACAGCTTGACCACCTGCACTTGGGTGTACATATTTCGGATCAAGTCAAGTTTTTGGCACTGTTTTCGGGGAACCATAAAAGGTGTTTTAAGGTAAAAGGTAAAAAGACCTCTTTTTTTGTATAGATACTTGCTTCACTGTGTATAAATTTGTTTTAATTTTATGTCTAAGGACGCTCCTCACCATCAAAATTTGCTGATAGAATCTTCTGGATCTGTGAATAAACCAGAACCACCTTCACCTA